CCGAGCAACAGGGGTAAAAATTTCATCAAAGTCTATGTCTTGTCGTTGAACGTACCCCTTTGCCACTAATCTCGCCTCGTGCTTCACAATTCTGCTCTTTTTTGTAAAAAGCAAATTTCAGTCAAAGACGATTTGGTGGAGAACCAATTAACTTTTCAACATCCATGATTTTGCAGTTGTCGCACTTTACTATGAAAATAATTTTAATTAAACAAAATATATATGTCATTAATAGATTTTGACATCCATAAATAAAAACTTTAGACCCATTACATAAATTTGAGAATATTTTTTTGGTGATGAATCAATCAGCTCTGTGTGTGTCATATTTGTTATTATTTTAAACTATTCACATTAGTTAAATTCACTCATATCAAATTTATAATTGTTGGGTAATGTAGAGACCTGATCCACCGAATTTAATTAGCTTCTTAATTAAGTATCTCACATACCACATCTCATCTACCGCTCATACACCTCCCACCTACCGTCTACCTCCCACCTACCGCTCCCATAGTTTCTATAAATAGTCTCTTTTGGTTTAAAGTAAATGCAAGCCAAGTAAGACCAAACCAAGTCATCTTGAGAGTTAAGAGAAAGATAGTAAGAGAGAGAAATAGGAAGGGAGAGAAGAAAATAGAAATTTTTTTATAAACGTCGAGGAGCTCGACGGTGTAATTCCTCGAAGAAATAAATCCTCTGCAGCTTCATGGACGTAGGCAAATTTGCCGAACCACGTAAATCTGTGTGTCGCTCTGGTGTTTTTTCTGCGTGCAATTTTTCTCGTTCCATTTTTTCGCTTTATTGTCGTCATTTTTCACAACAACTGGTATCAGAGTCTTGGGTTTGAATATAAGGAAGAACAATGGGCGGAGACGAAGTGATGACATCGGGGATCGAGAAGTTCAATGACACAGATTTTACTTACTGAAGGATGTAATAGAAGACTACCTCTATGGGAAGAAACTTTATCTACCGTTACTGGGAAATGACCAGAAAAGATGAATGAGGCGGAATGGAATCTGTTGGATTGACAGGTTCTGAGAGTTATACATTAACTCTGTCGAGATCGGTTGCCCACAACGTCATCAAGAAGAGGACTACTGCAGATATCATGGCGGCTTTATCAGGTATGTATGAAAAGTCATAGGCGAATAAAAAGGTGCATTAAAAAATTATTCAACTTGAAGATGGTGGAATGTGTCTCTCTTGCTCAACACCTGAATGATTTCAATACTATCACAAATCAATTATCGTCTGTTGAAATTGATTTTATGATGAGATACGTGCACTGATATTGTTTGCTCCATTGCCAAATAACTGGGAAACCATGAGGATGGCAGTTAGCAGTTCAACACGTAAATCCAAACTGAAATATGATGATATTCGTGATTTGATTTTGGTTGAAGAGGTGCGCAGGAAGGATTCTGGCGAGGCCTTATGTTCAAGTTCGACGCTGAATGCTGATTCCAGAGGGAGATCACATGACAGGAACTCAAACAGAGGAAGATAAAAATCAAAGTCTGGTCAGTAGGCAACCTGTTGGAATTGTGACAAGGCTGGCCACATAAAAAGAAACTGCAGGAATCCTAAGAAAAAGAAGAATGATGGTGCTAATTTTGTAACTGACGAAATACATGATGCATTATTGCTGACAATTCACAGTTCTGTTGATGACTGAATATTGGATTCAGAAGCTTCCTTCCATACATCTTCCCGCCGGGAGTTAATGCGAAATTATGTTGTAGGTAACTTTGAGAAAGTACATCTGGCTAATGGAAAAACTCTAGACGTGGTGAGGATGGGAGACATTGATATTGCACTCCCTAATAAGAGTAAATAGA